CAGCAAATATAAATTTATCTACAGTTTTTCGAGGTTTCACCTAGATGAATTTATAATTTTAATTAAACTTAAACATAATATTGTATTCAATAAAACGAATAAATTTATAACTGGCAGTACTGTTGTGAATAAAGAACTATTAATTACAGAAACTGATAGTTTTGTATCAAGAAATCAATTTGATCTATCTGCAATAAGTGCCACCAATATTTATAACTCAGACCCATCTAGATTCAATTTGGAACAATATACTGGACGTAAATTAGCATTCAAAGTTGTGACAGGGTTACAGCGAATTCGCTGGCCCTGTGCTCGGCATTCTCTTCGCGTGAACGCAGCGACCAAATATGGCTCTATCAACAAAGTATACATGCTTGTGTCATTGCAAGATCTGAAGAGGGAGAGTTAGAGCCGGCGGGGTAACACCGGAAGGAAGAGAGCGACAGTTAGAAGTGCGAGAGAAAGAGAGAGAAAGAGAGAGAGAGAGAGCGACAAAGAATAATTTCGGCGAAAGAAAAGTGGGAGAGGGCGGTGCGTTCGGTGGCGAGGAAAGTACGTGGCGGAAGAAAGAAGAATGGGTAGTGAGGCGTGAGCTTGAAGAGAAAGAAGGCCGCCTAAGATCGATTAGCAATCGAACTCACTACTTTTTGCCTGAGCATTGTATCCATGTCGTGTGGAAAGTGACGGATGGCATCAATCTATTTATTAACATACCTGCCCCTACATGTAAGAGTATCTCGAGAATTAAACAATATTCCTTAGACGCCTGTTTTCTAGATATTGCGCAGCTAAGTAAGAGGCTCCTGCTCATTTCATTTAAAGATGAAATAAGCCTTCTATCGGCATTTTTTCTACCGAATGCCGAGTTTCAAAAATTAAAATATGATAGCTCGTTTTTTAATCATAAATTATGAAAATTATTCGATTTTACGAGCTTATATCATACATTCAGACATTGCAATGAATCATAATTTTCTTGAGGTTATGTGCACTTGTAAATGATTAAAAATAGTTTTATAGCAGTTACCTAAATTTATAATTGATATCTATTTAAATCATAGACAATATTAATACCGCTACTAAGGCAAGTTGTACATCTATCTCAACAGCCTACTTTATAGGATTTTTTATTTTAACCTAACTGGAGAAATGTGTTCGTTACGTACTGTAAATGATTCTTTTTACCCTACGTTCGAAGGTCTACTTGATTTTATAAAAATTACATCAATTTCTCAAAAAAATCTAAATCAATCAAACTAAGTAAATGCAACCAATACCATAAACAAATAAAATCGTGGTATACACTTGGATCGTCGACTAACGTGGAGAGACTAAATTTAAACCAAACGTAGATAGCTACATAATTTTTAAAAAAATTTGAAAAAATGCTACTGGCTATTAGTTAGAAAATTTAAATTTTCAATCAATAACAAATTCTTAATGTGCAAATGTATATACATGCCAGTATGGACATATAGCATTTAACAATGGGACATAACTTGTAACGGGGTTGCTTACCGTTTAATTATTTTTATTACGATGATCGCGTAAACGCGCTCGCTATCACCTGTATCAAATAAGAAAGTCGGAGAGCAAGACGAAACGGGTGTCAGTCAACCAACTATCTACGCGAGTGAAAAGAACGCTCTGGAAGTACTAGTTAATATCGTGTACGAAAACTCTTTATTATCTCTTAAAACGTTACATTAGATCGGCCCGCGTGTTTATGTTTACATCGGCGCTCGCTCGACAACAACATGCAGTGTCGGGACGTTCGCTGCTCTTTGTCCGTAGAGCTATTACATGCACGCTTCGAGCACGGAAAATACATGCAATCGTGATCGCGAGATTAAGCTGGCCAGCTTACCTTTATTCTGCAGACGCACGAAGACAAAACTGAACGATTTACACTGCGGGAAAGCCTGTCCATTCTTTTGCCGCGGATCGCGAATTCGCGCGCACGTGGTTTCGCCCTCGATGGCGAAACCTCACACACACACTCTTCGATGTCGCAGGTACAATGGCCTTCAGCCGGCTCAGGTTAGCACTCGGTGGCAGCGGTCGCTGATGTTCGGCTCTAGTTCGGACACTTCGGTTGTAGAGTTCGATCTCTGGCTCACGTATCGGTAACTAGTCTCGTATATACGGGTGAGCGTGATGATGGTTAGTCCCTTACTGGTTCATTTTCAATCGCGCGCGTTCCGTCTGCTCGCGTGCCGAATTCCTTCGTTACATTTTGCGTCTCCCCGGTAGGTGCTGCCCCCGCAGGCAGCAATTAGGTTAGATTATTAGCGCTAATTTAATGTTTACCGTCACAAACTATAAAATCAAACGAATATTCTTTTGATTCAAAATTTTCAGTACTTCCGTTTTAAATAAATTGATCATACCAAATAAAAAACTCAAAAAGTCAAAATTTACAGTACATAAATAGTTCTTGGATTACTACTTCCATCTCATTTTCTATACGTTACACTAAATATTACATTTACGAAGGTAGTCCGATGCTTTTCAATTAGAGTTTAGTCAAGTATCGTTTCTGAAGGAGGTTCGCGATTACCGTCAAATATATTACATTCAGGATGTACCTATTTTCATTTCGTTTTTCTATCTTTGTCGATAAAATGGAATTTTTTATTTAATAAAATTGTTTATATTATGTGGCGGGAAATTTCGGGGGTCTCAGCCACTCACTTGAAGTACTTCCGCCACAAGGCTTGATTGGCCCATTTTCTCCCGACTAATAATTAGGGCGCCAGACCGCCCTTCCTAATTTACGGTGATCGTCGGGGATAGGATCGGAAAATCGCGACGTAGGTCTATTTGCCCACTGAGCGACTGCGTAGAGTGGGCAGGTTGTTGACCTCACGACGATTTTCTCTTCCTCAGGCCGATGGTACAGACCAATCGTCGATCTTTTCCGTTCTCATGCGTCCTGGAAGTACCGGCAGCTCAGGATACGACTACTCGTCTCGGGTCGGAGATTCGTTCGATCTAACGCGTAGGTGACCTACCGCTCGGAACCAGTAATGAAAACAATAGAATTCTCGCTACAGACCATCCACAGCTGAAAATAAAATCAGCATGCAGGGAGGAAAGGGTCAACGAGGCGTAAATAATAAAAATCGGTTACACTTCACTTTCCTTTATTCGGTGACTAGGGTACAGATGCAGTCAGAATGGCGGATGGTCAGCGTGGCTCGATGCGATTTAATGCATTGCGAAAACGGATCCACACGTCCCGGCAAATCAAATCTGCAACGAACTATACGCTCGATCCCCAATTTGTAACGGCAATTCTAACTTTACCTAGATATCTAAATCCTCCTCGATTCTTACACTCACGCTAGTTCGAGAAATGGCGGTTGGTTAGCACGACTCGGTCGAAGTACTATATTCCCGGCGTCGACGGATTTACACGTCACGACGGGATTATTCACACGAAAAATCACGCACAGCACTTCGCAAGTATCACTAGTAGCAACTTTGCCTACGTACAGATTACCGCTGAAGACTCGCTCGGCAAAACTCAAAGTCCTTCCATGGTCTCAGCGAATCCGGATATTGCTTCCCACAGCGTTAGCGATCAGAGGCAAAATGGACGAGAAACGGCTCTTCGCGGTCAAAGATCGTTTTACTTCTCTTTCCGAGAATAAATCATATTATTGACCGATATGCTAATTTGGATATCGGTAGAGCCCTCCGAATATTTCGTCAATGGTTAATATGCAAGTTAGAAAAGTAACAGCGCCCTCATTTTATTTCCTATTCCAGCACTATTTACCCTCTCTCACCCCCTACTCAGTTGGCCAGCATTAATTTATGAAAAAGATCTACCCCTACTCATATTTATTTTTCGTTGCAGACGGAAATCAAATTTTATTCTAATTATCGCTTATTGGTCGTGACGTCACCGCCAAGTTATCAATTTAATTTGTCAGATTATTTGTTGCTTATTAGTACGCTTAAGGGATTGTAACGGCCGCATACAAGTATTTTCCAATTTTTATTTTAGTATCTTTCATATAGTATGTCGGTTTTTTCTTCACAGCACCCTTATCATCGAATTTGCCTTCGAATTAGTATTGTATTTATTCTAGTTCGCTCACCTTCATATGATCTGTCTTGCTCGCTTTTGTTTAGTCTATGTCGCTCGCTCTTGTCCAGTCTGTCTCACTCGCTCTCGTCCAGTCTGTCTCGCTCGCTCCCGCTTAGTCTATCTCACTCGCTTCCGCTTAGTCTATCTCGCTCTTCAAAATAGCCGCCCACGCTCCCGCGTGTTAACCTAGTGCTCTGCTGCCGGTCTCCGAAGCGCCTCCTGGAGTGCTCCTTCTCGGTTGTCTGTTGTATGTGTGTCTCCGGGTGTTATGTGTGCGTGTCTCCATGTATTATTAGTAGTTAGCAGCAATGTGTGTGTGTGTGTGTGTGTGGCGCTCAGGATGTTGCCGATGGTGCGCAGTAGCCTGACACAGCTGATTTCCGGCTGCCGCTTCATCGACGATTTTCTGGTCGCCCCAGGTGTGTCAGCTTCCACAAAGTGTCCTTGTCAGTGCATGGGTGTGTAACGAGTCCGCATGTATCACTAACATGCATTTTCGTTGCATTTCCCAATCAAGTTTTCCGTGTTTTTTCTATAGTCGGCAACACGTGGTCGTGTATGCGTGCGTAAGCTCTTTTTCTCGTCATGCGCTCCGTTTTTCGCTCATCCGTCGGATCGTGTTCTTTGACTTGTTGGGTTCTTTTCTCGGGCGTGGATGGGCGAAAATGGAAATAAAACAATGTATCAGTTATGGCGCGAGTCGGGTATAATTATTCGATTGATCACGGGGCGGTAAGGAACGAGGATGGCTCCTCTGAGGTGTTGCAAATAGTGCAACACTCTCAGGGAAGGCTCTGTAATGCACCGGATTACAATTATTGAAGCTCTAATAAAACTTGATCCGTTTTTTATAGTGTATCGTTTATTGATATAAAATCTAACACGATTTAATATTTTTTAGGGAGGTGATTTATTTGATGCGATTGCTAGAGTAACTAAGTTTTCTGAACATGACGCCAGTGTTATGATAAGTCATTTGTGTTACGCACTTGCTTATCTACATTCTCAGCAAATTGTTCATAGGGATGTTAAACCAGAAAATTTATTAGTTCAAATACACAATGATAGAATACGTTGTCTTAAACTTGGCGATTTTGGACTTGCTCAAATAGTTCATGAGCCATTATATACTATTTGCGGTACTCCTACATATGTAGCACCAGAGATTCTGGCTGAAATAGGATATGGTTTAAAGGTAAACTTTTATTATTTTAACTACAATTATAAATTTGTAATTATAATGTTAATATTCATCGTATAAATGTCATCACCTATTAGTAATATAACACCAATAATATAATATAACACCAATATTTGGAAATTATATAAACAAAGTTAGGAATTTTATTGAAAACTTGTATACGAGGTCTGTCCGGAAAGTATCGGGCCTACGTTTATATCTTCGCGCCATAGTGTATGAGCGAACTCTACCGGACAGAAACGTCAACAGTAAAGCCTCACGAATCTATTGGTTACTTACTGATACCTGTCGGACGTATAGTTCATGCGCAGCGTGTCTTTGTTTACCGTGAATTTTTCGCGTTCGTCGGATTTTGATATTGTCAAAAATGTGCGAGAGGGGACAGCCACCGTGCGCCTTGGGCTGGTCTCTGATAATTTTTCTGGGTTCTTTCTCTGTAAAGAAAGCCGGCACTGACTTTCACAGGCCGAAGTTCGCTCTGGTTCGGGAGGTTGATACAAATAATCGGACACTTTAATTTACTTATACTACATATGGCGATCCCATTTATTGACGCCTTTTCACAAATATCGCTACAAGATCTACTTCACCGCAGTGAGCGCGCTCGCTTAGCCTTCCCGCGACCAGAGTTCGCGGGATCACGCGAGCGAGATCGCTCAGTGTGCGCGATAAATTTCTCACAATACGTTAATGTCTGTAATCGAGCGAGAGCTGGCACGAGAGAGATAAACTGGTCTTAGACCCACCGGATGCCGAAGGTCCGTCGGTAGAGAGGCAACGCCGGCGAAAGCGTAGACCCGCCGAAAACGGTGCCCTGGCGACGATGGAGGTTGCTGCAGGAAGGGCCGTAGCACGGCCTTTGTCTCGTGGAGGGCGAATGGTCGCTGCTTGCCCTGACTCAGCTTTAAACACCTTGTTCTCCTGGCAAAGTGGCAGTCGCACTCCTGGCAGTAGTTCCATTCCTTAGTCCAGGCAATAGGTAATTTGCTATGACATTAACTCTAGTAGAAAACCGACTGCGCCATCATAAGGAAGGTACCTCGTAGAATAATTGTATTATCATTTGGACACGCAAATATGATTTATTAATTTTTTATCGCCGATTTTCATGAAAAAATCGCACTTTTTTCATTAATTAATTAATAAAAAATAAACTAACAAAGCAATGTTAATGGTATCAATAGCAAATTTGTAGATAATTGAATTACGAAGAGAATGAGCCGTCGCTCGACCTCATCGGTTGATTAGCATCGAAGATAAAATGGAAAATCCGGCAAATTTATTATTTATTTAACAATTAAATATTTTCGTTAATTTTCAACGTACAGATCTCGGCTTTTGCAAAAAGATAGCAATGTTTATGTACTTTATGTGGACAAAAAGAATGAACGCTGTAAGACAATTAGCTTCTGCGTATTTGCAGTTTCATTTATTTATTATGCTTAATTGTAAAATAGCTGCTATCGACTGAGGTACTCGGATTTTAATTTTTAAAAGGGATTAATAAACTACAGGTAAAATGCAACAAAACGTATATCTTCATTTTGCGGCTAAATGTTTTAAAGTGGGCGAAAAAAAGGACCAAACATCACTCTACACGGCCGAGCTACTGAAAATGGTGTAGTGGTGGGGGTAGCAACAGCGGAGGAGAAGCGCGTATATATAGTAATACAAGCGTATATCGCGCCGCGTATTAGATTTGTTTTTACGTTTTCGACAAGCAATAACGCTATTTTAATACTTTTTTTTATTGTTAAGTTGCAAATTAAGAGGAAATTGATTATTGACTCTGACTAAATGAATAATAACAAAATCATTTTTTATATACACATGGATGCTCGTAACATAATATACATTTTTGTTTTCGTGTTATATGCTTCGAATTTTGGAGCATCTGTGCCGAAATGCTATACTATTCGGGCCTACTCGGGACCCCTCGGCATTCTCTTTTCTGTTCTCTCTCTCTCTCTCTCTCTCTGTAAACATAATGTTCATCGTTAACCCCATACAGGGTTCTACCCAAAGGGGCAATAAAGTTTAACTCAACTCAACTCTCTCTCTCTCTTTCTCTCCCTGTCGGCGCATTTCGGCAGCTGTGTTTGAAAAGAGAAAGCCTTCAACGGTCATTTTGGCCTTCTCAGTCACTGCGTAGATTTCGGTGATGCTTGAACTGTTCTTGTGCGTCCTATCTTTCAGATACGAAAAATCTGGCGTTTGTTATTTTTTTATACAAATTGTGATACATACTAGCACTGCGATGGATTCTAATGACGAAATGGATACATCCGACGCATCTACGTCTCGGTAAATACAACTAATTAAATTATCATTAGGAAATACATCTTTAGGTGTATAATGTTATGGCTTTTTCTTTAAATATTATATTTCTGATGTAGTCATGGTCAAAGTTCTCCCAACGAAGATGATGAAAGTACTCCATCAAAGAAAAAAGAAGAGAAGGAAGGAGATAATGAGGTTTGTTTGCTTTGCGATAAACCTATGACCGAATCCACGCAGTGTACTGTAAAAAAAGTAGGTACACAAAATTTCATTCGAGCAAGTTTGAAGCGTAAGGATAAAAAACACGAAGAATTAGATGAAATTAAAGTACATAAGACGTGTCAGCGTACTTATACGAGAGAATCAAATATAAAAATAGTGCTAAAACAGGCAACACAAGCAAATCAACGAAATCGCGAACGAAGACGAGATGGACGAAATTTTGATATTTTTTCATATTGTTTTTTTTTGCTCTAACGAGATGTTTAATACGCAAAAATGTAGTCGTGTAACGAAAAAATCAACGATTGACAACGTTATAGCTCAATTGGATGTCTATGAAAAAACTGAAATTAATAAAATTATCGCTTCGCGTTTGCATCAACTACGAGATAAGAATGATAATTTTTATACCGAAAACAATGTGTCTTATCACGCCAAATGTTTGAGTCAATTTTATCAGTACTGCCCAAATAATGTTAAAGGAAAACCAATTAACGAAGGCATGTCCGATTTGTTAGCTTTCATAATCAATTATTTATTGGAGAATAGCGCCGAATGTCAATTTTCATTGACAGAAATTTTACAAGTATACTCAAAAAAATATGGCAAAATCGATATTCCGCGACTTGATAGAATTGAGAATCTTTTGAAAGATCATTTCGAAGATGAAATAGTAATTTACTCAACGAGAAGCGATCGATTTATTTGTTTAAACACAACCTTAGGAAAATGCTTGGAAGACAGTTGGTATTCAAGTCGAAATAAGAATGAACAAGAGGAAAAGCAAAGAATTGTGGAAATGGCTGCTCATATAATATTACAAGATATCCGATCATTAAAATTTGATACTAGTACGTACAATTCACCTTCAAATTTTCTACATAATGTTACAGAAGATATTCCTAAAACGTTAAAATTATTTCTTGACATTGTAATGAAAACACACAAACGAAAGCCGAAAAACGGGTCTTGGAAAAAATGGGACAATAGAGTTAGTACGTCAGCTCATATTTTAATGTCTGCAGTACGGCCGCGGTCGTTTTCTTCGCCAATCTTATTAGGCTTGTCTAGTATGATGCACGCAAAATTTTCGGCAAGGGGGCTCATCGATTGTTTATATAATATCGGCCTATGTGCTTCATATTCGGAAACTGTTCGATTTGAAAGTTCTATTGTAAACGACCCGGAGCAAATTGATATTATCGCTGATGCGTACTTGCAATTTATATATGACAACGCTGATCATAACACTGCAACGATTGATGGCAAAAATACCTTTCATTGCATGGGCGGTATTATGTGCGTGACACCATCGTCGTCTGTAACTTGCAATAGTACTATACCTCGATTAAAAGGAGCATTAGCTTTTGCTAGTGCAAGCACGTCTGGCTTTCTTCCTCTTACTGACTTTAAAATCAAAAAACCATTCAAATTACATTCTGTATTCGTTCAAGATTGGAAAGACGTAAAAGTTAGTGATTTTTCGGTTAAACTTAAACCAATTGATTTGCTATATTTTTATGGCAAACATACTGAACCGGGAAAAACGTCAAATTGGCATGGATTCATGAATAAATTTCACGCACTCAACGACGATTTTTGTACGACGAAAGTTATAGCTTTGCCTTTTATAAAAGCTCCACCAAGTGACCATACGACAATTTTAACGGCTTTAATCGACGCTAGACAAAGAGCAGATAAAAATAATCAAAAGCACCGTTTTGTTACTTTTGATTTGCCGCTTTTCATGAAAACATTTGAAATTATAGCTTCAATCGATCCAGCCAATGATCCTCACAATCTTCGTTCGATAATTCTTCGTTTGGGCGGATTCCATTTATTAATGTCATTTCTTGGTGCTGTTGGTACAATTATGACGGGCAGTGGTCTTAAAGAGGCATTTTATACTATTTACGCTGAATTATCAGCTGACAAAGCTTTGATGGGCCACTTATTTTCGAGAGGTATGCGCGGCAATTTCATCGTTCACGCCGCTCTCGCTATATTGATTTTTGAAAAAGTAGATCTTGATGAAAATGAAAAAACGTATTTATCAGAGGGCCTTGAGAAAGTTGGCGAAGAAGATATGCAAGAATTTTTTTCAAATCCAATTATGAAAAAAATTAAAGAAAAATTTGTTGCAACTATAGAAAAACTAGAGAATAATGGCCCTACCAGTAAACTGTGGTTGCAGTACTTCAAACTTATCTGTTTAATACTAAGATATGTCGATGCAGAAAGATCTGGAGATTTCGATTCGCACTTGGAATTCGTACTGTTAATGATACCAATTTTTTTCGCTTCAGGCCATCATTTATATGCAAAAGCTTGTTTGTTATACGTTCAACAAATGTTAAAATTAGAAGAAATAATGGATGTCTTTGAATATGATAATTTTTGCAAAAAAGGTTTTTTTACTATCCGACGTTCAAATAGATTTTGGTGTGGCGTATGGTCCGATATGACCATCGAGCAGGTGTTGATGAGAGCAA